TAACACCAAAAAAGTTTGGGTTGATAAAGACATAGCACACACATTCCATTCATTTGAAATATAACAATACTACGAATTTCTGTGAGCTACGAATACATCAACAGGAAAAAAAAATTTGCTTTCCTTACTTGTTCATCTTTTTTGCTGGCATCTTTATTCTTTGAGTGTCTTCTAGTGAAGTAGGAGATTTTCAGCTGGTCTTCATCATAATTATTTATACCTGCCAGAAAGGTAAAATACATAAGCTGGAATATAAATGCAGTTAAAGATAATGACCAGTCCTATTTTTAATTTACTCAACACTATCCTTTGAGATTGTGTTATAATTGTAATCAGCAAATAAATTTAAATCCAGCAATTAGTTTTTCATGCAAATCACCTACAAAGTGCACTCCCACCACCTTGTAAGAGTAAACGAACCTGCAGGTTTGGGATCTGTCCGTGAAGAAACGGAAACAGGTTCACTTGAGCTGAGATTCTTGTAAATATAATCCACAACTTTATGCAACTCGACTTTACGGTCTTGCATCCGCCCGGCTGACTCCAGGATGACTCTCACAGAGGGCGTCTCATGGCCAGTCAACAGGACAAAGTTCGACATCCGGAATTCCTCTATCACATTATCTGCTTCTTCTTGCATCTGCAGGGATTTAAGAACTTTTAATATGCTGTTCCCATCATCATCTACTCTTGATAGTTCTCTTAAAATAATCTTTTGTAACTTAACTAAAAGATTTAATCAAAGAAGTACATAATATAAACAAGAAAGCCATACATACTAAACAGTGGCAGTGGTCTGCCGTTATCTTCCTTTTCCGCAGCCCTTGCATAATACTGACACGCTCCTTCAGGAATTTCGGTCCAATGGCACAAACCATGACAGTCACAGCTGCAGTCCCACTTCCCAGCTCTAGGGTATTAATAAGATACAATGTAATACAATTACTAATATAATGCTATCAGCAGTAAATTCACTGTCTACAAATATGTGAATTAGTGCAAAAAATCATTTGAACATATATTCACTTTTTCTCAAATACTAGCTGAATTTACCTGCAACTAGCTGTGACACATCTCTCCGACCAGCTGCTGTTAGCTGCGTAATATCACCAATGCAGCTTGCAAACTTTTCAAGGAACAAGCTAATGCCCACTGCATATGGAACATCTTTATTAGTTTTTTCAACTAATTTGCTCCTAGAACATAAAATAAATAGAATCATAATACAATTCAGCAAATGCAGTATCAAACATGTCAAGAAGAAGAAATTGTTAAAGAAAATTCAGTACTCATTTGCACATTCATTTACCCAAGATCAATATTACTTACCTATGATTCAGTATAAGCTTTTCGTAAGATCCTCCCTGAGCTAAGAGTTCCTGTGTTTGCATGCGTTTCTTCCGCACATTCAGCAGAAATTGGCACATAAACTTGCAGTAGAGGGATGCATCCACAACCATCAGCGGACACAGGCTTATCTCAAACTGATGAGAAAAGTCACTCAGGCTTAAGACATGTGACATTTTCTCAAAATGCAAAAAAGTTACACTAACATCCTACCATAAAAATGAAAACTATCATCAGACACACATAATCACGAATTTCACTTCATCCCCACCCCAAGGATGAGGATAAGCAACCAGCACCAATTTCACCGGAAAAGCTCACCTTAACGCCAAACACCTCAGAGGTGACCACAATCTCGTTCAGCTCTGTCAACACCTGCTTCACGTTAGGCATATTTTTTCTCCTGGAAGTCAAACCCTTTCCACTGAGGAATGCCACTACCTCGTCAATGGGGCCGTCCAGAAGAAGGAATCCTTTGAGAGACTCAATGGAAGATCTGGCCAGGCCCATCTCTCGAAAGATCTCCCACATGTTTTCCAAGGTTATTCGATTACAGTTGTACTCCTGCAGGGATCAACCAAGTCAGTCTTAATGAAAAGATGTGACAATGGTACATCATGTACAATTGTGAGATCACTACTATCGAGCTATATAAAGTTAAAATTTGCGAAGTATGCAACAAGAGAAAAAAGTTTCCAAATCACATAATATCACCTAGCATGATAATTTTACAATGGTCTGTCAATTCTGTATCAAAAATGGGACAAAGACAATGATTTTGAGTTATTATCAATATTCTCATATCAGTAAAGGCTTTCCACATCAACCTCTTTTTTAAATACTTGTCACTTAACACTTGACCATGTCACACTTTTTTACCTTCAGGAGACAAAGGACTTCAGGATGGAACTTCTCTTCAACATAACAGTGAAAGAGGATAGCATGTACTAGCTCCAGATGTCCCACACGCACCAAGACATTTTCACTTCTTGACTGGATTATCTGCTGTATGATGTCATGAGCTACAAGAATGACTCTTGCTGAAGATTCAACTGAATCCTTTTTAGGGCAGGCTATGTCAAATGCACATTCATACGACTCCTTTGGGTGGATGCCTGAGACTTTAAAAGCACGCTGGACTCTGTCAATGCAATATCTTCGAATGTACTTGACCTCATTTCGTGCAAGAAAGCGAGCAAATGGGTATCTGAGCTCATACTGAGCAGAGACCAGCTCCCCCCTCCCAGACATGAGTGAGACAAGATTGTCCTTGTCATTGTAAAAGGACCCCTTGGGTACATAGAATGTTGTTGGTACCCAGATGCCCCCATGTGCTTTGAATACTGCTGTAACTAGTGAATGCAGATAATCATGCTTCCAATACTGCCAGTAGTCAGAGGTGACAGGATGTCTGACTTCAAAGGTTGCTTCTAACTCTGGCCGCGCACACGGTTTGAACACAAGGTTGAGGATTTCCTGATAGTCTGATGACCTCACATTCTTCAGTTTGTCTTCTAATGTTTGGATGAACTTCTGTTCTTCCGCTGTTGGAGGGGGTAGCAGGTGTGATTTCAAGATGTCACCAGTACTCGGCCTCTGCTGGGGATCATGCTGCAGAAGCCACTTGATCAGCTCAACAGAATTAGCATTCTTCTTCACAATAAACTCTTCTGGTATGTCAATCTCCGGCTTTCTCAGGTTGAAGAGGACCTTGGCTCTCTCCATGCCTGTGGTCAGAGGGGGGTGTGCCATCTCAAAGAATATGACCCCCAAGCTGTAGATATCAACCTTGTTGGTATAGCTCACTTTGCCTTTGGACTTGTTGACTTCCGGTGCAACGTAAAAGGTGGTGCCTATCTGGCTGGTCAAGGCACTGTCCTTTGTGTCATCTACATCCATCTTGGGGATAACTCCAGCAGTAGTCTTAGCTTTGATCGCTGCCGTCGCCAGACCAAAGTCTCCAATTTTGACATGATCGTCCATGTCAAGGAAAATGTTGCCAGGCTTTAGGTCACGGTGGATTAAACCCTGGGAGTGGATGTAGTCAAGTCCATTGACCAACTCACGAAACAGCCTCCATTTGCGGTCGCTATCCATACAAAGGTGTTCATTGATGGCTTGCCTGTTTCCATGAAATAATAATAAAAAAAAGTTATTAGTCTATGTCAAGCTTGGTAATCATTCATAAAGCCTCCTTAAAAGATGTTTAAACTGTATTTAGAAAGAAGAGAAAGAAAACAAGTAAACTGCACCATCCATAATGATTTCTTAATAAAAGAAGTTCTCTCTTCTTTAACAATCAAATCAAACAGATCACGTCATCAAAATAAAGACAGCACCATGATACACAAGAAATTATGTTCTCAAGTCTTCTGTTGACATCACTCAAATTAGTCCTTTTTTTTGTAGTCTCCCCAGAATTTTCAATGCATACCTCCTTTTTTACCATCAACCAGGACTTCGAGTGGTAACTGCATTAATCTCATTCCTATTTATTTGATTCATCAGCCAAACTCATACTTTCTGTTCCGAAATGGTTTAATTTTCTTTGCTGGTTACATAGTCACCCTTTTTTCTAAAAGCAACCAAAAAAATATTTAATGAAAGTTATGATGATGTCTGCATATCTGATGTCGCTGCAGTTCTAAATGGCAGAATTTGTCTTCTTTCCACGTGCTCTATCGTTTATCAAAGCACATGCTGTAATCAGTTTATTTCATCCACAACTTATTTTTGCACATTACCATTAGTCTACCTCAGTTTTATCACATTCAGGGGCATTCCATATCCTTTACATCTTTTATCAATCTCTGCCATCATTCTCTGTACATCTGTTTGTGATACTGCTACTATTGCTGCAAAGACTGCATAACTTGTTGTTTTTATGCTTTTACTAGTGTCTACCGATCCATAAGTATTTTACTAGAACTATGGAAAAATTAATTATATTCTTTGACAAGACTAGCGAGAGCACACAACAAACTCATTTTTCAAAAGGTGGGTCTTCAATCAAATCAAAGAAACATCTAATCCTAGCCAGTTTCATACAGGTTTATGATCAATCTACTTTAACTTTTATGGTATGCAATTCCAATACTTTTTATACTTTTTTTTTCTGTTGCCTCTATCAAAAAACTTCAAGGTAATCTAAAATACATAGTGTATCTTTTTTCCAAGCTTTCTTACTCTTGGGGTCCAATTTAAATTGATATGTTCAGCTACCTTTCCTGAAGTCAAAGTGATATTTGCGTCTATGATTTTTAATTATGAAGATGACCTTTTTTTAATCATCCCAGCCAAAATCTTTGATACATAAGACTTGTAGTTCTACAGTCTTCACACTTCATAGCATTTTAGGAATTAGAATAAAGATGACAGCCAAGAAATTATCAAAATGTTATCCAGTTTTAGAACTTTTGCCAATGATGGCAAGGTTTCAGCATCCATAAGCATGGAAGCCTGAGGGCTTTCAACAACTCTTGCAGCCTTTCCTTCTTATTGATTTCTTACAATTTCCACTAATTCTTCCACATTTCCCCCTTTGTTTTCAACAGCATATTAAGCTGTCACCCTGAAGCTCTGTAAAATATACTCATCACAGTTTGATTGACCCTCTTTCATTGTTTTCCCTTCCTGCCTTTAAGACACCATTTTGCTCAAGGTAAATATCTCCTGTTTGAGGTCTTTACTGCTCTCATTACAGAAATTTTCATTGCTTTATCTTTTCACATAGATGTTTTATTATGTTCTCCCATTTTTTCAACTTCCTTACTTTATGCATTACTTATAGAATCTCTAATCTTATCTGCAAATGTCCCATATGTTGCATATTCTTACCACTATCTAGTCAGCTGCTTCTTTATATATATTTGATACATTGTCGTCTTCTGTCCTTACTTTCCGCTCTTTTCTGTTCAATGGTTTCGTTAGATATCCTTTAGATCTCTCCATTTCACTTGTCAGTCTCGGATTTTGTGACTTTTTTTTAGCTATTTTTGGCCTCAGAACAACAGGAGTATAGTCTGAATCACAGTCTGCTTCAAGCCTTTCTTAACAACATTTGATACATTTTTGATATTAGAATACATTCAATCTGGTGTTGGATAATTCATAGCCAAATTCTGGCATAAAAAGAAGTGCCTTTTTCCTCAATGTGTGCATGATGTCAACTTTCTAACTGTCCATTTAAAATCATTATTTGTAACAAACATGAAATTCATCATCTACCATATTATTCACAAAAAATTCTTGTTAGAATTTCTTGCTGTCCTATCTGGAGTGAGCTCTTTTTGGCTTTTGTCCGTGAACTACGGAAGTCGACCAATCTCTCCCCACACTGGTTTTTTATACCATGAGCACTACGCTTCATCAGACAAGCTACTCACAATCAGCAAAGACTTACCTGAGTGTGTTCTTCTCACAAAGTTGCATCTGGATAAACAGGTACTGTTTCTTGAACTGCCTGGAGGATGGAACAGCATCTGTCTCGTCAACATAATCAGTCTCTATCACAGAATCCTGCGAGTCCGAGAAGTCTTCATCTTTCATCTTGTCATCATCATACATGTCATCATCAGAATCTTGCAACATTGGTCTGCAATACAAGGATAGATTTGGTACTATTTTATTTGAGGAAATAAAAAAAGTTAAAAGGCAACTTTCTAATCTGACTCTTCTGCTGAAATATACTATTAAATATAAATAATTTGCTTATGCAACCATTCTAATTCATAAATGATACCTTACATACAAAAGCAATATCATACAAAGAAATACATGAAAACTTACATACAAAAGCAATACTCCCCAAAGTTTTACATCTATGCCCATACCATAAAAGCCCAAAAATAAAAATGATAAAAATTAAAGTTACTTTATGTCAGTATAAAAAATAGCAAGAACTACAAACCCTAAGCTGCCCATCAGCCAGTCATCATCATCGTCATCATCGCTCTCCTCTGTATCATTGGCTCGAGAATAGCTGGCATGATCTACGCCATCATAAAATATGACACTCCACTCTGACTCCTCCACTTGAGCTTAAAGAACAAAATTAAAGCAGCGATACAGTTCCTAGAAATATAGTGATAGTGTATAGATTGCTCTTCACACCACTCAATCTGTGCTTGAATAAGAGCCTTTCCATACAACCTATGTACAAAAATATTTAGCACTTCAAACTAAAGACAAACTGAAAGTAAATTCTGATACATACTGTAAGACACATTCTCAGAACAGTCCAAAATAGCTGCTTCATAACTTTCATCAATAATGCGGTACAGCAAAAGTACCATATCTGCTTTATTTTATAATGAATAAATGTAATTGTTAACCAAATAACACACACAATCATGTTTACCCTTCTGACCATTTTAACAAGGCCATCCAATGACAACTCCCACTATTTTCATACCTCAAAGACTCTTCATCACAAGCTAAATGGCACACAGTCACCTGCTGCATTAGGCACTGACCTTTCTGTTCGAGGCATTTTGCAAAGGAGCTCGAGTCCTCCGGCGTGTCAGAGGCAGAAGTAACCTGAGAGATAGTGACGTTGACTGAACTCTCCTCAGACTCTGAGGAGGAGCTGCTCTCGTCCAGCACCTTCTGGTCCTCTTCACTCTCCTGTGTGAGGCAAGAGGGAGCTTATAAAGATGGAGTCAATCAGCAAGCAGCAGAGGGAAATACAGCACACCTATCTCAAAGTCTAGGTTGGGAGAAATGTTCATTATATGGATAATAAAGGAAACAAAGAAAAATGTACAGCATCAAAGAAAATCCAAAGGCATTAAGATGACATACATATATAAAAAGAAAATCTGTTAGAGGAACTTAAACAATTAAATTCAGCAAAAACTTTGCCAGTTATAAAAGAAATCCAACAGATAAACATTTGGATATCAAAAGTAGGATCAGAGAACTAGTAAAGCACATCAGCAAAGACATGTCATGATGAAATGATGAGATATGACCACTTCATAAAGTAAGGCCATCTCAAGTATGTTAACATGACGAATAACTTCATTGTCTATATTATATATTAATTCACCCAATCTAACATCCAAGTTTACTTAGTCCATTAATTTGAAGTTCATATCTTCTTGCTTTGAATTGGAATATTAAGTCTGGGACAGACATGTACAGACCATGTGA